CCCCCTTTCTCTCTCACTGCCCAAAGTCACAGACAAAATTGCACGCTTTCAATACAAGAGTGCTGGAACGTTTGTTCACAGTGAACGCTACACTGGTTGGCCTATCACGGTGAAGGCACACATTTCTTAGAATTTATTTCTATAGATTGTATATTTCTGTTTTAATAGACGTAGTTGGGTACCGCAGTGTTGCGGTCCCGGTCCCGGAAGTCGAGAAAAAAGCTGACTGAGTTGTCAGGGTGAAAAGACCCATTTTAGACTATTTTTGGGCGCTATTTTAATGTTTTTTTAGTGTGCTGACAACAATTTTGGCTCTAAAAACTGTCACAAACTATTATTTTTGCGTATTTAGCGGGGGGGGGGGGGGGGGTCCCGCCTGCACCCACCACCCCCTTTTTTTACACGTTCCATTTTTGTTTTAAAAATTGTGTATTGGCTTTTTTAATGTGTAGTTTGGTATTGTATGCATTGAAAATCTGGCCAGTATAGTCACCCGGAAGCGTGATTTTAGTAATTTTACTGTAGCCTCTCCAACTGTCAAAAAAGGACCGGGACTGGAACACTGCAGTATTACCCGTAGTTGTTCTTTATATCTATATATAGGCTATCCAGACTCTGAATTCTGACCGTCTTAAATCTTAATCTGATCTAACTTTATCTTTCTTCCTCAGTTTCAGCCCCAGTATAATACATGATCACTAAAAATGAAAATGTTTCTTCAAAAGTTGCAAGCCTTAGTTCACTTTAAATTACTCTCTTTTCAGGCTGTCGTCTAACTGTCAAAGTACCGTTCCTGAGCAGCAAGACTCCTTGATGACAGCTTTGTGAAGACTGTGGACATCAATGAAGTGCTCAAGTTTTCGGATTTGCATTTTTGCTGTTCCTCGTCTTTTGCGATCTTCAGGTTCTCTTTTTCATCCAGTTTCCCCCTTTGTTTTGAGCTGTCCAAGGAACAGTCCAGTCATTTTGAGCAATTGCTCGTCTTGTCATAGATATTTCTCTGGCTGGTTGAAGAACCATTCTTTGTCATCTCTTAGTAGATACATCGAAAGATCTGAGGCTGCTGACTCAAGGGGATGCTCCAAATCAAACTTACTTAACTTTTCTAGAAGTTACGGATCTAGATACTCTTCTGAATTAGTTGTTAAGCCAAATTTGGTCATGATGAAGCTGGATACACCAGAATTCCATTCTCTTTTCACTCCTGAACTTCACGCTCTGTCGGCACTCTTCACAAAGTACGGACATGAGCTGAGAATCGCGGGTGGGGCTGTCCGCGACTTGCTGGCTGGAAAAGTGCCGGATGATATTGACTTTGCTACCACGGCAACGCCTGCTCAGATGAAAGAGATGTTCACAAAGGAGGACATCAGGATGATCAACTCAAACGGGGAGGCCCACGGAACCATCACGGCTCGGATCAATGACAAGGTGAGTTTGTCTTTACTTTTTACTTTTTTCTTCCGCTGGTTCCAGTGGGTGTCGCGGGAAGACACTGGCGTCTGTCTGCAGCAAGGCAAGTGGCCTGTAGTAGGGACATCCCGTGGGCTCTGAGAGTGTCTGCCACAGATTCACCCCATCGTCGCCTTGGTCTTCCTCTGGCTCTCCATCCAGGATATTTAATGTTGTATGCTCTCAGAGCTGGATGGTTTGAGAGCATCCCCGTGAGGTGACCGAACCACTTGACTTTTTGTTTTTCAATGTGTGTCATAAGGAAGTAAAATTCTTCTTTTTCTGTAATAGGCTAAAACTGCACCTGGACATGGATGGCTGGTGCCTCTATATAAATAAATTGTTGATGATGATGGTCTTTTTCTGTAGGTTGTAAATGTTTTTTATGCCTTTATTGACATCATTAGTATTATTGAATAAATAAGAGTAAGATTCTCCTTGGGAAGGCAGACTGGTTTGATTAGAACTGTCTGTAAGGGCCAACCCGTGCTGGGCTTACACTTGTGGCTGGATGTCCTCAAAAGCTCTCATGTAATCCTTCACTGCAACTCCTTTTGGTCAGCCTGTTCATCTAGCCATAATTTTTCCATTTGAGCTTCCCTCTTGCAGATCAATTTACACCGGTGTCTCTTGTGTGATGGTTTGGCTTATGCAGTCGACTACGAATGAGTTGATGTTATTGGGGGAGTGCTGTTGGTGTGTGTTCTCTAGTGTGGTTTGCTCCTTCTTTTCTGTCAAACAATATAATATTATCCTTATATCTCTCTTTTATTTTTTGTTGTTGTTTTTTTAGTAGGTTACTCTCTAAAAACACCTTTTATCATCACCACTTATATAACCTGTCGTAAGTTCCGTAAACTCAATAGAATTAAACTTCGAGACTTTTGGGATTGCAATTTATATAAATTGATTTTTCCATACAAACAAAGCTATTGGCTTACGTTTATAATGTGGATATGTGTGGTTGTGTTTCAGGAAAACTTTGAAGTGACGACCTTGAGAATTGATGTGGTGACGGACGGGCGGCGGGCCCAAGTGGAGTTCACCCAGGACTGGATGTTGGACGCCAACCGACGGGATCTGACGGTCAACTCCATGTTTTTAGGTCACTGCTCGGATGTGTGTTTTGTTCTTTCCTCCTCCCCTGTGGGTGGTTGGTGGGTACTTTTGTCGGTGTGGTTTGCTTCTTCTTTCCTATCAAACATCTATCATCCTTATCTCCCCTCCTCCTTTTTTGTATGTTTGTTACTCTCTTGTAACACCTCTAATCTTCAGCATTTATATGACCTTATTGTGTTGCAAGTGCAGTAAAACGCTTACTAAAACTAAAAACCTCCTCCCCTGTTTTATGATGGCTCTCCCTCTTACCTTAGAAAATCACGCAAAAAAATGCTTTGACACAAAAATTCTCTTGTTTAGACAATTTTTCATTTTAGGAAAAAAAATGCCTCGAACAAAAATTCTCTAGTTGGTACTATACAATTTTTTATTTTTTTTCTCAAATAGTTAGGCCTCTGGCATTTAAATAGATCTGGTTAGTCCTTTTTATTTACAAACTTAGAAAAGCTACTAATTTGTTTTCTGTTCAAATGTTTATATTTAAAGACATTTGACATCAATGTGGCGTTTTTTCATTAAAAAAGAATATATATTTTTATGGTTCCATTATAGAGCCAGCTGTCTTTGAAATGATGCTTCGAAGTAGACTGGCAAGTCCATGCTCCCAAGTCTTGTGTGTCAGTTGTTCACTTTCTGTGTTCTCAGATTATTGAATAGTATGAGCTGGTGTGGTCATTGTTACATGTTTGTGCAACTTCTGTGTCAGAACATATATAATTGTGTGTCTGAGGTCAGTTGAGCTCAGTTCTGTTTCGTTGTTTTGTTCTGCTGGTAGTCAGAGGGAGTGGGTGGTTGGTGGGTGCTCTGATGTGGTTTGCTCCTTCTTTCCTATCGAACGTCTATCGTCCTGATCTCTCCTCCTTCTATTTTGTGTTTGTTACTCTCTTGTAATACCTCTAATCCTCGCCACTTATATGACCTTATTGTGTTGCAAGTGCCGTAAAACTCTTACCAAAAAAAAGATTACTGTTGTTGCGTCACTATTTTTTCTGTAGTCCAACAATCAAATGAACAAACCGTTTGTTTTCGTGTCCGTAGGTTTAGACGGTACCGTCCACGACTACTTTAATGGAGTGGAAGACTTGAAGGACCAAAGAATTCGATTTGTCGGCGACCCTGAGCAGAGGATACAAGAGGACTATTTGAGAATCCTCAGATATTTCAGGTACGTTGTGAACATCAAGGTAGTTGGGAGGTTTTTTTGTAGAGTTCCAGGAACTTTCTTTTGTTTTCCTGAAATGTGACATGATGTAGATTCTTGTTTTTAAAAATTCTTTTAGAAATGGGAAGCTTTGTTTGGAGTGCTTTTCTCTGTAATGAAGTTTGGTTCGAATGACATAAAGTTTAAGGTCAAGTTTTACTGATGTTTCAGCCTGGAGATATAACTGCCTGTAAATAAAAAATGGAGCAAAGTGTTTTCTTTTGTTTGTTTTGTTTTTGTAAGAGTTTTACGGTGCCCGCAACTGCATACGGTCATATGAGCGCGCGAAACACGCAAGTTGGTTGTATTCACAACAGTTCACTGCACAACTGGGCTCGGGTCAACTGTTTTCTTTTTAAGTTGCAAACAGTACAGTACTGTGTGTTGGAATGTTGTCCAATTTTCTTGGAATCTTGTCTTATCCGTGGTCATGAATGAAATTAAGATAATTGCAAAAAATTAGGCTTACCTGTTTTAGCCCTGTAAGAATCTGTGGAATTATTTTATGTTTCGCTATCCAGGCTTTTATCTGGAACAGAATAGAAATTTATTTCAGACCCAAGTGGTGCTTGATTAATGTATGAGGAGAAAGAATAAAATGAAGGTAAAACAAGGGAGGCTGCTGGCCGTACTTAAACAGCTGGGAAATGATGTAAGAAGGGCGAGAAGGTTTGCAGTTGGTGTGTGTGTGGGGTTGGGTTTTTTTAGGGGTAGGTGTAGATGTTCATGACTTTATCAAAAGACCTGTCAGAACTGTTTACAGAGTGTTGATACGACATGTACTGCTGGAAAGTAGCTGTGATTTTGAATGACATACTTCTCAGCAGTGCTCCTGATTTTTCAGGATTTTTATTCATATTTTCATCTCCTTCTGCATGTCATATTGCACTTCATTAATATGATCTTGATAGTCGATTAGACAATATGATCTGTAAATTTTGAGTACCCACACTTATGTTTCCCTGGAGGTTATAAAAGTTCAGGATTTTTCTTTTTTGTAGCAGTTAGGCACATCTGCTTCCAGGTTGAATCCCTCCATCTTTTACACTGTTTTCAGATTCTTTGGCCGTCTGGCGAAAGGACCCAATGACCACGAGCAGGTGACAGTGGATGCAATTAAAAAGAATGCTGGTGGACTGACGAGTAAGTTTCTGCTGTTTATTTGTCAGAGATTTGTGTGTGTTGATGAGACATGTGTTGGCATGTGCTACATGTGTTGGTGTGTGCTGCATGTATTGGTGTGTGTTACATGTGTTGCTGTTGTTGCAATAATGACGGGTTGGTCTATGTGCTGCAGATTGACAAGGTGACTTATCAAGACTGGAATTGATTTATTTTTCTCACAACAACATTTGAAGAGCACAGGGGGGAAACAGCGGTAGTCACAAACTGGAAATTGAAATTGTGAGGGTGCCAATTTTAAAAGCTTGTGGACTCATAACTTGATATTTGGTTTTGTTTGACTGGTGGTTCATTGTTTTAGTGTTGTTGAATGGGAAGTCTAACAACAGTAATCAACCAACAGTTGAACAGAAATACAGTTAGAACAGAAATACAGTTATGAGTCAACAATAGTCAACCAACAGTTGAACAGAAATACAGCTATGAGTCAACAAGCGTTCAAAATTGTTACCCTCTCGACTTTCAGTTTGTAACTACCGTCGTTTTTCCTCCTGTAGTCTTCGTTTTATATCTCAATTATGATTCGTATGATAGCTGTTTGGGTTTTTTCTAAATCATCCTGTAAAAGTTGTTGTGTTAGTGCTCAGAGAGTGAAATGATTGTAAGCAGAAATAACACAAAGAGAAAAAAGATGCAGTTGACAGCGAATTACTCCCCTTACATGCGGCTGCTGAGTGCAGAGATGATCAAAGTTGGAGCCTCTTAAACTGGTCGTAATTTAGATGTTTCTACCTTGCAGATTGGACTCATACTTTTAAAGCTTGTCAGGAATTCCAGTTTTTGTTTTATTTCTGTGGCACACTTGGCATCTAATGTAATTATAATATACAGAGTATTTGAATTGTTCGACTTGTTTTACCTTTTCCCCTTTGCTAATGATATTAGAAAAAGGATTTATTATATAGTGCTTTTTTGTTATATTACTAGCTTTATGAAAATACAATCTACCTTTACGTTAACTTTTTTTTCCTCAGGGGTGTCGGGTGAACGTATCTGGGTGGAGATGAGAAAAATCCTGATGGGTCGGATGACGGCGTCTCTGCTGGAGAAGATGATAGAGCTTGGTCTCGGGGAACACATCGGTGAGTGGTGGGTCATAGACTGACTGCTGTGTTCACATACAGTGAAACCCTGATGTAAATAAAGAACAAGCCCAGGCAGTAAAAATAGTTCTTTGTTGCAGTCGACACACACACACACAAACTTACTTTTTCTCACAGTACTTTTCGGTCATAGCAATAGGAATAGTATACATTGTACATGTGTACAGTATTTTATTTCTTCCCAAGAGAAGGAAAAAGGGAAGTTACGGATGTTTGCTGTTTCTCCTTTGCTCCTACTCTAAGATATCTTGAATAAGCATGCCCCCCCCCCCCCCCCTATTAATTTTCAGGTTTTTTTGTTCACCCCCCTGCTCCTTATTCTATAATCCCCATTTATAATTGTTCAGCTTGCCACGACCAACGATCATGTGAAACATTATATCTAGATATTTTTTAATGAAACTGGTTTGTTCCTAAATGGCAAAAGTTGTCCCAGTAACTTTCATGATCTCTTTCACTGAGGGAGAAATAAAACAGTTTTGTTCCTACTAGTATACAGGGGTATGAGGTTGAAAAAGGGGGAATCAGACTTACTCTGCTCACCTCTCTAGCTTCAACAGTACAAAGTCTGCTTCGACTGTCAAGGCACCCGGGAAATAGTGGGTCACAAGAGAGTGACAAACATACAAAAGAAATTGAGGAAAAAATGACAATAGTAAGGATTAAGAAAGAAAAAGCTGCAGTTCCCTGTTGCAGTTCAGAAACAGTTATGAGCATGACACTGATGAATCAGCCCATTTACAATTACAATTTTACTGTGCATAAGAACATGGTTAATGTCCCCCCTTTGGGAATGGCCTAAAGACACTTCTGTCTGTAGCAACACCCTGAGGGGTAAGTGGAGTCGACTGTATTGTGTATTTAGTGTGAATGGGAGTGTCACAGACACACACACACGCACACTTACATGAAGAAATGGCAAAATTCTTAATGTTTATACTAGAGCTGATGCAGTGCTCTTTTGTTTTTATCTTTTTCAGGTCTGCCAAATGCAACCAACTTTGCCGAGTTGCAGACGGTGTGTGAGAGAACAGAAGGCGCGTCGTTCAACCACATGACACGCGTGTCAGCTTTGCTTGACGAGGAGGCTGATGTATGTGAATTTCAATTTTTTTTTTTCCCACTTTTATATTAAGATTAGGCGATGAATTCTTCTCCTCACAGTTTGCTTTAATTGGCGTCTGTGGTGTTACGATTTAGCTCGTTTAGCTCAGCTCTGTGGTACTTTAGTGTAAGGGTCGCACTGTGGTGTAACGATTTAGCTCATTTTGTACTTCGCCATCGCACTGTGATGTAACGATCTAGCTCATTTAGCTCCGCTCTGTCGCACTGGGAAGGCCTGAGTTTGATTCCGGAATGGGAAAACTTTTTTATCAAGTGTCTCGATTTTTTTGCTTCACCAAGGTTGGCAGTGACAGGCAGGGTAGAAGTGGCTCATCTAATCAACATACAATGGCAGTTATATTGATGGGGGATGTAAAACGGACACAGTTGACAAAACAAAAGGTTTGTCCTGTTTTCACTTCCTGTGTGGTGATGTTACTTTTTTTTTTTACATAATGAACAACCCTCACATGTTCCCCCCAGGTGTACCAGCTGCACCAGAGAAACAAGATGTCCAATGACGAGCTGTCGTTAGCGCTGTTCCTCGTCAAGCATCGGCGAGACGAGATGGGTGACGACCTGCTGGCCTACTGCACCGACCTTCACACCGACACGAGCGGCAAGGAGACCAAGGTCGTTGGCAAGATAGTGGAGCTCATGAAGTACTGCGGCAAGGTGAGTGAGGGGTGGGCCTGTGTTAGAGGCTTGATGTGTGTCTGTGTTTGTTATTTTACTTGTATGAGGTGTTTGTGTGTTTACTTGTGAGTGCTGTGTGTGTGTTTGTGTCTTTGCTTGTGAGGGCTGTGTGTGTGTTTACTTGTGAGTGATGTGTGTGTGTTTGTAAATTATTTGTGAGTGCTGTTTGTGTTTGATTATTTGTCTTGTGAGTGATGTGTGTGTTTTTTGTGTCTGCGTGTGTGTTTGTTGTGTTTGCGTGTGTTTTTGTGTGTTTACTTGTGAGTGATGTGTATGTGTTTGTGTGTTTACATGCGAGTGATGTGTGTGTGTTTGTGTGTTTACATGCGAGTGATGTGTGTGTGTTTGTGTGTTTACTTGTGAGTGATGTGTGTGTCTACACAATTGTTTGTGTGTGTTTGTGTTTTGTTGTGTGTGTATTTGTGTGTCTATACGTGTGTATGTGTCTTCATGTGTGTGTCTGCGCGCGCACGTGTGTGTGTCTAGACGTGAGTGTACTGCTGTCTATGGTGTAGTGGTGAGGCACTTCGCTGTCACACAACAGACTAGAGACAATCCTGAGTAGAGAGAATGTTTATTGAGTATCTCGGCCTGTCTGCTGGGATGTTGTATCCCTCTCACCCCTGGTTAGCCCTGACGAGCAAGGTGGAAAGAATGCCTCGCAAATGATCCTGATTGTGTCGATGGAGGCATAAAAACATTTACTTTTCTTGATCTCTTGCAAACAGTGTTAAACAGGCCAGCATCAGCAATACCTCAAATCTTCAGCTCAAATTCAAATATGACCTATTTGTGTAACCCCTACTTTAAAAAATAATAAACTGTATCACCACGCAGTGGAATCAGATGCTTGTCAATTTTTGGACATATGGAGTTATTGGTATCATTGTAAAGCTTGTTCATCTGTCTTGCTTGTGGTGAAAAAATACCCATCTGTCTAAAATAGAAGTTGAGATATTTGTATTGAAGAAGGTGGGCGTTGCCTGGTGTCAGAGGTAAAATTAGCAAGAAAATAGCCGCCAAAGTTTGAAGACTTTCAAAGCTTTAGAGCCCACGGAAACTGTAAATTTACGTTTTGCGTGCCTTTAATTTACTATTTTCAGTCATGAATTTACTATTTTCAGTCAAATGCACACAGTAATGTGTTTTTTAATGGGCCTACAAGGTGTTTAGCAAAAAAAAAATTAATTCGATAAAAATTACTGAACAGGTGGAAAAATACTACTTTCTTCGATTTCATTGTTTTGACGAGCGTCTGATTTTACCAATATGCATCACACATTGTGAATTGGCTCAGACTGAGTTGCATTTCTGTCTGTCTTACTTTTTCTCAAACATGAAACAACCATTGATGTGTCAATATGTTATTAATTCTTTCTTCAAACTCTTACTCAAGTTTTTTTTTTTCTTTTTATCTTTATTTATTTCAGACGGAGACTGCAGAGAAGTTCCCGACCATGGAACTGCCTCAGCTGCCTGTGAAAGGTCACGACCTCCCCAAGACAGTGCCGAAGGGCCCCAAGTTTGCCGTCACACTCAACGAGCTGCGGAGGATCTGGAAGGAAAGTCGCTACACGCTCAGCAAGGAACAGCTGCTGGCCAAGATCCCTGAAGTGTTGGAGAACCTTCCGCAGGATCTGAAAAAGATGCGGAAAAAGTAACATTTTCTTAGGGTAAATTTTAAGTTTTTAAATTTTATTTTAGGTACTGATACAAGTATATATATGTAAGGCGTGGTAAAGTTGGTACACGCTCAGCAAGGAACAGCTGCTGGCCAAGATTCCAGATGTGTTGGAGAACCTTCCGCAGGATCTGAAAAAGATGCGGAAAAAGTAACATTTTTCTTAGGATTATTTTTCTAGCTTTTAAATTATATTTTAGTATTGATACCAATATATGTGAGGTGTCGTGGTGGAATCAGGCGCTCATCAAAATAATGAAATCGAAGAAACTGGCATTTTTCTGGCCAATTGGCTATTTGATTGAATTTTTATTTTTTGACTCAAGGCAACATCCATTTAAGAACACACTTCAGTGTGGGTTTTACTCAAAAACGTTGATTTAAGATACAAATTATGTAAATTTGCAGTTTCCAAGGAATCTCGAGGCTTGGAAGTCATGCAGTTTTGGCGACAATTTCTCACTAATTTTACCCCTGAAGCCAGATGGCTTTGGTGCAATAATGACCATACAGCGTTGAGAAAAAGTCAGGCAGTCAGACAGACAGAGACAAAAGGACGACAGGGAAGAAGGAGAGCCCACCCGTCGCGCTCTCCAGCAACCCGCGTTCATTATTGATGTACACACAAAGCAGCAAGTCATAACCTGTATTATTATTATACACTAGCTGGATCCCCTTTCTATGAAAGGAAAGATTGGTGCATTAACAGGAACTGAAAGTCATTGGCCTACTATATTTACTCTCTCCTGGAATGGAGCAATAAATGTTGAGAGAAAAGTGACACATGTGTTTCCAAGTTGCTAAATATATAATAGATGTATAGATTGATTCTCTATTCCGCTTTCGTGGTTGTACACTCCAGAATTTCAAAGGTGTGGAATCAGTGCGCACGGCTAGTGAATGGAAACTTCATTTGTTTACAATGGCGTCTTAGAAGACGGACATTCCCAAAATTAGAACTCTGTGTGGACGAAACAAAGCATTTTGAAAAAATCGGGGAAAGCAGCTTGCATGGATTTTTTAAAGTTAGGTCCTAGCCACATGGATGCTGTGGACGCCTGCAAAGTTTCTAAGGTGTGGGTTAGGTAATAAGGGAGGAGTTTTTGCAGAAAGCCTCCCAAGTCCACTTTTATATAGATATCACTTCTAGTGGCCCAAAGTTTTGGAGAACCTCTTTCAGGATCTGAAACAAACAGTAAAAGTTATGTGGTTTTGTGGGGGGGGGAATCGGTGCTCTCCCAAGTGCTATGTCTTTGATTTTCTTATAAACGCAAGTTTGCGTAGAATTTCTGGAATTTGAGTAATTTTTATTTTATTTTCCAGAACAGTTTGTTTCTGTTTATTAAGTGAGGTAACGTCCGGTTTTGATTTTTTTGAAATTCTTATAATTTTAAGATTTTTGTTTGTTTTACGGAGCAATTGTTTTTTTACTTATTGGTAGTGTGCCTTTAGAATTTTGAATTTTAAAAATCATGCAACGTTGAAGATGGTTTTTTTTATTTTCCAGTGAAGTTGTTTCTGTCTAAAACAGTTAGATCTAGTGTTACTTTTTTAAATTGTTTTAAATTTCTGGAATTGTAAAAATTTGATATGGGAGGCTCCTTTGTGATTAGTCGAAGAAATGTGTCGAGCATGTCTGTCCCTTAGTTCATCTGTTGCGGTCGTGACAAAGTGAACGTTCTGCTCCTCAAAGATCCGGATGTTTACGAGGTTGTTTACTTCTGTGTTGTCATGGTTAGGGCTCATTTCCGTTATACGCACAGGACGCGAGTTCGGTTCCTGAGCGGGGAGGCTTTTTTACATACCAAATCTCCGTCTCTCTGCTGGGACAGTGCAATCCCTCTGTCTTGATTCGCCCCCCTCATGGTCGAAGCAGCCGTCTATTTTTATCGTGTTGATTGGGGCGTAAAACCTTGACAGAATAAATACAGTGCAGCCTCTCTCTAACGTCCTTCGATATAACGACATCCTCTGTATAGCGACATGGTGCCCAGGTCCGGATTTTTTTCCTATCATTAGTAATACTTTGGTTGTCTCTCTATAACGACAACTCTCTGTAACGACATTTTTCTCTGGTCCCGACGATGTCGTTATAGAGAGGCTGCGCTGTACTGTATGTTTACCAGAGGAAACTCTTTCTCGTGATTGTTAAGGGCCGTCTGTCCGTCCATCTGACTTTCTCTGAACACATGCGAGGTGACTGTTATTGTGAGGATGCTTCATGCAAAGTCTGGGCTGATGGTTTGATGTGGGATTATGTTCTTGAAAGTGTGTGAAATACGTGATATTTGAAGCTGGTTGTAGGCCAACGTATCATTTACTTTGAAATGTTTTTTTTGGTTTTTTTGCATATGTGAGTCGAGGCAGCGTGGTGGAATCAGGCTCTCGTCAAAATAATCAAAGTGAAGAAACTTGCATTTTTCCTCAGGTTCGTTAATTTTTATCAA